TACACATTCATGTGATGGATGTTAGATACATTGTTATATAGGTAGTCCACAGGTGGATACAACTGAAAGCTACTTTTGCTTCGAGCAAGCATTGATTCATACTATTTTGGCATTTTATATCTGGAGATTGATCCAATTCAGTGTGGTTGATGCAATAATGTTTTGTTTTTTTTTATCCTTTGGGCTCCATGCACACTAGCATTTTTTGTAAGCTCCTAGAAGATGTTATCAGCATTTTTTTCTGCACTTAGAAGCTAAATAGTGTTATACTATGTGTTCATGGCCACTATTTTAGGCTATTACCGTTTTTTGAGCTTCAGTGTCTAGGAGCAGAAAAAAATGTTTTTGTTGAGTTTTTCTGGAGCGTTTTTCCAACAGAATGTGTTAAATGCAGCTAAACACTACTAAATGCTACTAAAATGCTCCTAACAGCTTTTTTTCCTACATGTACTGTAAAAACGCTAATAAATTGTTAATGCTCCCAAACGCTCTTAAATGCTTCTAAATGCTGCTAAAGCACTACGCTATTACCAGCGTTTTTTTTAGGTTAAAAAAAATGCTAGTATGCATTGTAGGACTCACTTTTTTACGTTTCTGCTGAAAACCTATGTATAGTTTTGCTCATTATTACATAAGCAGACTTTGCTCTCTGCTTTGTAGCCATGCACAGTGATTGTGCCTTGCTGATTTTCTAATCGCACTGCTGGGCTGCTAGATGTAGTCAGATTGAAACAATACACTCTCTGCAGTCTCCAGAAAAACCACAAGGCTCTCAGTATCCTTTTTCAACCAGGGTGCCTTCACGTATCTTCAGGGGTACCTTGGCAAAATGCCTATAAATTGCCCACAAATTGTATACAAGCCAGCAGGTGGATCAAGCCTGCCTGTTAGTTACACAAAGTCACAGGTTTTCATTGTGCACCATTACAACTTTCTAGTCACCGACAACATAAAATACCAATGATGTCATCAGTTGACATGGAGGCCATTGGGCCCCTACACACCATCCTTGTTTGCCGCTCCCCTGCCCCTCTGTGTCAGCACTGGGGTCACATTAGCTGAGTGAGAGGGAGAAAAGAAACAATGGAATACTAGTCAGTACCATTGTGCAAAGGTGTGTTTGCTTTGGAAGAATAAATCACTTCTGACGTTGGGTGTCCGACGTGTGTAGATGTTGCTGTGTTCTGTAAAACTATTAGTTTAGTTTTTTACATTTTGTAATGGGTGCCTGAAGATTGTGCAGAATTTTAAAGGGTGCCTGAAGATTGTGCAGAATTTTAAAGGGTGCCTCAAGATTGTGCAGAATTTTAAAGGGTGCCTCAAGATTGTGCAGAATGTTAAAGGGTGCCTCAAGATTGTGCAGAATTTTAAAGGGTGCCTCAAGATTGTGCAGAATTTTAAAGGGTGCCCCAAGATTGTGCAGAATTTTAAAGGGTGCCTCAAGATTGTGCAGAATGTTAAAGGGTGCCTCAAGATTGTACAGAATTTTAAAGGGTGACTCAAGATTGTGCAGAATTTTAAAGGGTGCCTCAAGATTGTGCAGAATTTTAAAGGGTGCCTCAAGATTGTGCAGAATTTTAAAGGGTGCCTCAAGATTGTGCAGAATTTTAAAGGGTGCCTCAAGATTGTGCAGAATTTTAAAGGGTGCCTCAAGATTGTGCAGAATGTTAAAGGGTGCCTCAAGATTGTACAGAATTTTAAAGGGTGACTCAAGATTGTGCAGAATTTTAAAGGGTGCCTCAAGATTGTGCAGAATTTTAAAGGGTGCCTCAAGATTGTGCAGAATTTTAAAGGGTGCCTTGACTGAAAGAAGGTTAAGAAACTGCTCTAGGCTTTTGATCACATGAAGGAGAACAGGAACAGAAAGGGCAAGCATTAATGTGATGCTGAATGCTCACTCCTCATTCAATAAAGGATTTCTATGGTCACAGCAAACACTTTTATTGTATAACATCAGCGTTGTAATAACAATACAAACAATAGTTCTATTTGACAGTCCAATATAAGCTTACTTGAATAATCTCCTTTCATGTTGTGATTGCTATTTATCTGCTGGCTATCTATTTCCACAACTATCTGGATTCCCTGCATACTTTCCAGCTTTTCCTCTGCTCTTTACTTTCCATTTCCACTAAGTATCCCATGGTACCTCACCATCTGCAAGCAGTGATTCCTGTACTGACTCCTGAAACTGCTCCTCTCAGCACCTCTGTAGTTCAGAAGGCAGGCTCTGTGAAATGTGTGACACAGCAGTGCCTACTCACAGGGCATAGTGAATAAATGTCACAGAATTTAGGGACGTGTGCTGGGATGTTTATAAACTTCAAGATTGTTCAGATTCACCACTTGAGCTCAGGAAGGTTTTACCCCCTTCATGACCAGGCCATTTTTTGCTATTCGGTACTGTGCTACTTTAACTGGCAATTGCATGGTCATGCAACACTGTATGCAGATGACATTTATATGATTTATTTTTCACACAAATAGAGCTTTCTCTATTTGGTATTTGATCACCACAGTGTTTTGTTATTTTTTTATGTAAACAAAAAAAGAAAATTTGAGAAAAATATTTTCTACTTTCTGCTATAAAACATATCCAATAAAAAATTAAAACCTGTGCGAGTTACCCCGCCCTTGATGTCACCTGGGGTGGAGTCACATATGTGATGTCCCCGGGTGGCTCTGCCCCTTACCTATTTAAGAACTGTCAAACCACCAGAGCAGGTAGACGGCGGGAGTCATCATCGGAAGTGGAACCTTTTTTTAAAATTCTTTTTTTTTGGGTCGGTGGCGGCGGGCATCGTGATTGACATTGGATCTGCTGTGGGGGACATTCTTTTAGTTTTTTCTTTTAATAAAGGACTTGTTAAAGACCGTGTGGTGTCTTTTTTCACACTTCACTTTTGTTAAAGGGGGCTTCCAGATTCCGATAAGCTCCCTGCTCGCAGACCTCCACAACCACCGGCCAGGGCTGTGGGGAAGAGGCCCTTGTCCCCATCAACATGGGGACAAGGTGCTTTGTGGGGTAGCCCCCCTGCCCCAAAGCACCCCCCCATGTTGAGGGCATGTGGTCTGGTATGCTTCAGGAGGGTGGGCCTCTTGCTCATCCCCCCCCCCTTTCCTGACCTGCCGAGCTGCATACTCGGATAAGGGTCTGGTATGGATGGGAGGGGGGACCCCACGCCGTTTATTTATTATGGTGCCAGTTTTTAAATGTAATTACCACTTTTTTTTTTTTTCTTCACTATTGATCAGAGATTCAGCTGTTACTTTCCCCCCCCAGCTAAAAGAAAGAAAGTTTCCTTTTAGTTTATTTCCCCATGTTAAAAGAAAAAATGTTTCCTTTTAGTGTCTTAAAAGAAACAAAGCTTCCTTTAACTCCGGGGAAAGTGACAGCTAATTCTGTGAGCTATAGTGAAGGAAAAAAAAAGCCAGTAATTGCATTTAAAAATCGTCACCATCATACACTTCGTATTTCAAAAAAATACATAAACCAAGGCATTATTTTCAATGAATTTTAATTCGTAAACCGAAAATTATGTTAACCGAGGCGTTTGTAAACCGAGGTACACCTGTACAATGTGAATATATGATTTTACATTTTGTCCCTAGAGTGAATATTAATGATAGGCCTAGTTATCATTTCTAGTTCCTCAGTAGGGAAGCTGCCTGTTTAGGAATTTTGGTGGTAGACAAACAGGATATTATTTAAATCTGACATCTTAAGCGCTAGTAAAGTCCGCAGTAATTTCTTTTTTGGGGGGAGCCCAGGTGGGTTATGCTATAATGTATATCAGCACATTATGAGAGACTTACCTGTCAAACCGAGCCTTCTAATGCTGTGCTGTAAACAATCAGGCGGATCTTGGGTTTCGTGCCTTCAGCTGCTTGATTGGCCGGATCATGCTCAGTGGAGTCACATCGAAGCGGCACATATCGGGGTCGTGAATGTTCACATACCTGCGCATGCACGGCTCAGTGTACATGATGACTGACAGGCAGGAGGAAGCATTTATGACAGAAGAGACCGATAGGGTCTCTTCTGTCATAAGTATCCTGTCTGTCAGCAATTTTTTAAAAAACAAAGTTTACTTCCACTTTAAAGCAGAATTAAAGTCCTATGAGCAAACGGGCTCTGTACTTCAGAAGAGACATGCAAACCTACCTGCCTACTCACGTTCTTCTTTGGAAGGTACACTGAGCTGCACCAGCACAGCTCAGTTTGCATACTGGCACAGAGCCTTTGTGCTGGGATGGCTGTCCTCCCGTGCATGTGCTGGAGTCATGTCATCCTATGCTGGCCAAAGAAGATGGCAGCTGCCGGTCACCAAGAAGAAGCCAGGTAGAAAATGCTGGCTAGGGATGTCAGACCATTGAAGGAGAAGTATCACAGAGTTTAGCTCCATTTTAAGATTCCTCCAGCAGTTTAGTGATAATAGTAAAATGAAATCATTAATACCAGCCATCACTTCTATTTAACAACAGAGTCTCATACATTCTGTAGTTCATACATGTATCTCATAAAGGAAATGTGTTCTCTTGTTTCAGGATGCAGAGTTCACAATGACAGTGTTTCAAGTGACTAAACAAAATGGATATACATCTTGGGAATACCTTGCCAGGAATCGAAGTCACTATGGACCAATACAGAGTATAATGTTTGGCATTCACCTGGATAGCAATGAACCCAGACTTGTATCTCTTGGAAAGGATCGGATGTTGGTTGGTATTAATTCTATGTACTGCTAGGTAGTAGAGTACAGTGATGCATATATATAAACCCAACTATTGCTGAACATTTGTCTTAATGTGTGTTTTTTTCTGAAATGAAAATTTAATTTCTTTTTATTCACAGTTGCACAATTTAGCAACAAGTTGTTTCTAGCATGCAGAGAAGGACAGGTTTTCAAGCTGTCCTGTTTTTTTAATGTTTCCCAAACTGCTTGTTACTGATACTATGATGGTTTTCTTTCCAATAGGTGGAGTATAATCTTATCAAGAGCAGTAAAGACAATCTAGTCATTGAAAGTAGTGACCGCATTGACCAGAGTGCGATTCCACAGTGTTTACTATGGTACCCTCCTTTAACAAAAGAAAACTTTATTCTTGTTGCCGATGATCAGTATAAAATGAAACTTTACAACACAACTACCAAAATGTGCAGGTGAGTAGAAGCACTATATATAGAAAATCAAAATGCATATCTTCTACATGTTCCCTTCATTATGGCTAAAGAAAACCAAAATACTTCTTAGGTGTTTGGAGTCAGTTGTATTTATTCTGCAATGGCCATACACATAGCAAAATTCCAGCCATGGATGATCTTCTCAGCACCCTCCATTTCCAACACAATTTGTTCTGAAAATCAAGAGAGCCAGATGGAAAATCATCAAATGCACACACAGTTCAGGTATTCTGATAGCCACAGGTTCTGACTGTCAGAATACAATACCTAAATATAACAGGTCAAAGAGAGTGCCAAATAAAAAATCCTTCAGCCTGCTGTCGGCTGAAATCGGGTCACAGAAATGCAGAACGAACTGCACTCCTGTGATCGACTAGATTCTCTGTACTTCTCCTATAAATTTGAGTGAAGGCAGAGATAACTCTAGTAGCTAATCTTCACATCTCTATATTTAACTACTTCAGTACCAGGCACTTTCACCCCCTTCCTACCCAGGCCAGTGGACCGCTTTCAGCACTGTGAACAACAATTGCGTGGTCATGCAACACTGTACCCATATTACATTTTTTTCACACAAAAATAAAGCTTTCCTTTGATGGTATTTAATCACCACTGGGTTTTTTTATTTTTGGCTAAATAAATGAAAAAAGACCGAAAAAATTGTGAAAAAAAAAAATTTTCTTTTCTTCATATATTTAGGCCAAAAATGTATTCTGCTACATTTCTTTGGTGAAAATAACCCAAATCAGTGTTTATCATTTACTCTGTAGGACAGTTATAGAGTCCACAAACTATGATATATATATATATATATATATATATATATATACACACAGTATATATCAATCCTGATGTACTGACTGTCTGACTGTCTAACTAATTTCTTAAGGCCCGAAAACTCCAGGTCAGTACTAATATCCTCCAAATGACCCCTTTTTGGAAAGTAGACAGTTCAAGGTATTTAGTAAGAGTCATTGCAAGTTTTTTGAAGTTGTAATTTTTTGTCACAATGTTTTGGAAGATGAAGAGATTGCAAAAATATTTCCTTTCACATTTTTTTCACCAGTGCAGTGTAGCATCATCATATAACTGGTGTGGCAGTGATCAGAGACACTGACTGGTGACAGTATGTTAAAAAAAAACAAATAACATTTAATTATTTTTTCAATTTTTAAATGTTTTCTTTATTTTTTTTTACAGGTACTTACATAGCGCCGTCAATGTAAACAAAGCTTTTATATACATATTCTTTTTTGTTGCTTTTTTATGATTTTTTTTAACACACTGTGACCAGAGCAATATATTGTTAACATTGTGCTGCTCTGGGGAAGTGATCAGGATTGTTTTTTTTTTTTTTTTTACACATTATTATGGCTTATACCTGTGAATTTCACTGTTACAAGCAACCATTTTTACTGAATGAAATTGATTCATTTAGTGTTTACTATTGTTGCTAGCTGTGATTGGCCACAGCTAATCACATGGTACAGATGGGCTGTGGTTGGCAGTGTCTGTACCATGTGATCACTGTCACTAATCACAGAGATCAAAATCATAGTACACAATGGATGGCATGAATGAAAGCCATCTATTGTGATCTGCTGTGATTGGTCACATGTACCTGCAGCAGCCAGTGTATGGATTAGCCATCCTCTGTGTCCACCGGTGACAGATTGTGCTGCAGTGTGGCCTGGAAGGACATCATATGATTTTCACCTGGAACAGATTAAAGTTAAACTTCAATCAAATAGCTAAATGAACAGTTGGCATACACATATGGGAACTGTTTGCCTGTCAAAAGATTTGCATTTCTGTCCTACCAGTCTTAAGATCTATATAGCCCTGCCAGATACCAAAGCTAGCATGGTGACCAAGCTTTTTTTTGCAGTTAAAGTGATATTAAACCCAAAACCAAAAATGTAATATGTACTGTATATGCCAGTTTACCGATCATTAGATGTGGTGGGTGCATTCATTTTTTTTTTTTTTTTTTTACCTTGTGATCTGACCAGTAACACACTTCCTGTATACGACTACCCCCACTCTGAATGAAGGAACAGAGATACCCTTGGAAAGCAGCATTGTCATTCTAGGGGGAGGGAAGTGATAGGTATACTAGCAGGTTTAGACACACTAACAAATTGAAGCCAAACTCCATTAACACTTTTTAGGCAGTTTTAGCAAACAGTTTGTTTCTTTTAGGGGAAAAGGTTTTACATAAATAAATAAAAACTGATGAAGAAACAGTTTGTACCATCCTCTAACTGCTGTATCTGCAAGACCACTTGTTCTGTTGACAGCTTGTTTCTGTTGAAAAACTGACATAATGGCTCAATCACCAGATGAAAATAAAAGAAAGAAGACCTAAAAAAGAAATCTAATTGCACTAAAGCTGCAATATAATAAATGTTTGCTTTTGGGTTTAAAGTAGAACTATACGCAAAACATTTTTCTCATTTTGGATAGGGTAAGGGAGGGTTATAACCCCTGACAGTTTACTTTTTGCTGTCTGTGTCCCATTGGGAAGATTTACCTTCACTTCCTGTCCCATAGCCAGGAAGTGAGAGATGATGCCCCCAAATGAGGGGAAATCCTTGGGAACCTCCAGGTCACTAGAACTAGTGTCCCCATTGGAAAATTTCCCCTCTATTACTTTTCTGGGGACAACTCAAAATTTGGGATGTTCTTTACTTTCACTTTCAATGATTATGGTAACAGGACAAATAGAGGGAGTGAATCTCCCTAATGGGGTCACAGACTGCAATAAAAACCTAATAGTTTTTCTAATCATCTCTACTCTATCCAAAACTAAAAAAAAAAGTTTTGTCTTAAGTTATACTTTAATACCGCTTTAAGTGACACATCTAGGTATCGTCTTGTCCCCCAGCCTTTGACTCGACATTGAACGAGCAGCAACAGAGTATTCAGGGCATCCTTTGCCCTTTCCTCTTGTAAGTATATTCCTTGCTGGAACATGTAAATTCAGGACACCTGATTGGCCCCAAGTATTGCCCCTCCCTCTGCCATACTGAGTACTGCTGTACAGGAAATTTGAGCAGGCTGATAGCCTCCGGGCACTCCGGTTTCCTCCCACACTCCAAAGACATGAAGGTAGGTTAATTGGGTCCTGTCTAAATTGGCCTTAGTATGTGTATGTATGAATGTAAGTTAGGGACCATAGTTTTTACACCCCTTGAGGGTTAGGGACTGATGTGAATGTACAATATATATGTAAAGCACTGCATATATTGAGGGCGCTATATAAGTACCTATATAATAATAATAATCTCAGCCGGCTCAACTGGTCAAGATTTGATTCACCTATGGGCAGTCTGGTCTTACTGAGGTCAATCCATTGATTGACATCAATACTACCACCATGTCGGATTTTTTTTGAATGGGATTATTTAGGGTCGGTTCACACTATAGAAACACAGTCTAGATGGACTCTTTTCTTCAATTTAAATAGGAATATGCGTGTTCCAGTGCATTTTGGTGCATTCCAGTGCATTTTTTATGTGTTTTACCGTGTACCACTACTTCTGTGCTGGAAATATTTTATTGAAATAAAATCTTGCAACCAGCTTTCATTTTATACAAAAATACAAAAAATAAATAAATACAACAGTATTCAATAAACTGGAAACATGCAGACACATCTCCCTAAATCAGATATATGCTTTCTACTGAATAATAAAAGCCTGTATGGCTTTACTAAATGCAGGTAAGAAGCAGAAAAAAAAAGTAAAAAAAACATCAAACCTTTATCTACTTTTTTTTCTGCATCCAGAACGCACTGGAACTAGGGGAAGCAACTTCCTCTAAACACTTCTGTGTGAATGCAGCATGTTCTACATTGACAAACACTGATGTGAACTATACATTGACAACCTACAACTACCTTCTGTGCATTTTGGATGCAGAAAAAAAGCAAATGAAACGCATGTAGTATGAACTGGCCCTTAATGATTGTGTTCTGCCGACAGGGAAGGCTCCCTGCCAGCAGAGCACAAAAGTGCTGTGGGAATAATCCCTGTGTTGATGGGGGAATTGAGTGATTTTGTTTCCTGCACCCAAAAAAAATGCATCATCTATGGCTTGCTTTAGCCTGATGCATGTGATCTGCTCAGTGTGTTCAGTATATAGTAGATTGTAAATCTATATTCACATAGGGCCATTATATTTGCTCAAAACATATGCAGGATCTATTTTATTGGTTCAGTAGTGCTTTACAGTAATTGTGAATTGCTGATCCTGTTATACCACTGCAAACCTAGCAGATGGGCTCTCACTGACTGAATGAACAATTGACTCACTGCAGTCTCTAATTGGAGAAACACCCACAATGCTTATGGTTGAAAGAGGCAAGTGAACTTCTGGTTCTCATAGGAGGAGACATCTAGAGCACAATTTTTTCATTCATGGCAAGAAAGATATACCGGTAAATTTTTCCTAAAAATAACAATGAAGCTAAGCAATACTGACATATGTTCTGTTGATTCGTGTGAAGTGTGAATTTTAATCATACGCCCATTGTAAATAAATGAAGACGTATTATATGCTTTCTCCTAAGAAATAAAGTGTTTGATATTTGGCTGCTCTTTGATGTGGCACTTGGAAGTGTGTAGGAGGATGAGTAATGCAGTGCATACAAACATTCTGCCCAGATCTTTTCATATTTGTGGAATGTTTAATACAGACAGAGTACTTATTATAGAAAACAATTCTCCTTGTTATATATAAATGTTTAGAAGGAATTCTGCCACCAGTGCTTCTGGTGCTGAATGCTAATTAGATACTAGTTGAATGGACAGGTACAGAAATTATTTGTGAAACTCAGTGAGCTGCACAGCACATTCAATTAAATCATTAGATTAACACATGGATGCCTCACAAATGAGTATTTCAAAACTCCTTTTGCAATATGCCTTTGATTACACTGTTATTTATAATACATTTGCAAAGATGTTTATCCTGCAAACTGCATGTACATTTGTTCTGTTGAAAACCAGCAAAATCGAATATTACTAGGCTATTTTCTCTTCAAGTTGGATGTCCTTCATTTGTAAGAATAGTGAAAACCAGAAAATACCGCATTATGGCCTCTAGATGTAGCTGATGATCATAGTAAATGAATACTTATTTACTATGATTGTCCGTTCCAATTTCACAATTGAGAAATTAATCTGGGTGGATTGGTTCAGGTAACATATTGTCAACTTGTTTGTAGTATTACTATGTGACATATCACACTGGTTGTTTCAAGTGATACTAACATTTAGACATGCTACATTTAACAAATGTAACTAAATTTAAATGTAAGAATGTGATGTATCAGCTTTGTAGTGTTTGAATTTGTATCACAGTGGATGAGGTGTAATCCCAGTGTGTGCTTTTTAATTAGTTTTTGTGTCAGATTTCTAAATTGACTTTTGCCAATGTGATTTTGATGGATTATTAATAAAAAGGGGCATTTCATAGCATGTTTATAGTAGTTCCATAGTTGGTCTGGCTGAAAAAAGACAAAAGTCCATCCAGTTCAACCATTAAAAAAAGAAAAGTTATAATCCTACATCTACAGTTGATCCAGAAGAAGGCAAAAAAAAAAACCCAGCAGAGCATGATCCAATTTGCTCCTGCTGGGAAAAAAATTCCTTCCTGATCCCCGAGAGGCAATCGGATATTCCCTGGATCAACTTTACCTATAAAAGTTAGTATCCAGTTATATTCTGTGTATCTAAGAAAGAATCCAGGCCTTTTTTTAAAGCAATTTACTGAGCTGGCCAGAAGTAGTGGTGGATGAACGGCCAGATGTACCAATAGTTAGTTAAGTGCCTATAGGTGGCAAAGGCAAAGAAGTGGCTTTTCCCTGTATAATTACTGGTCAGTTTTTTTCCATCCTCAGAAAGCATACACATTACATATAAAGTTATTTACACATTATCACAATATCCTAAGCCAGGTTAGGACAAAGAAGTCAAGTCAATGCCCTTTGTAAACTAGGTGACCTTAGCGGAGGGTATTACTTAGGGTGGCAAAACTACATGCCTACAGGTTTCAGTGATGAGAATCTGATCTTGGTGGATACAGTGTATTTTTGAAGCAAGCCATTTAAATTGTAGTGGTATAACAGTATGATTGATTAGCTTATGTAGCACTCTTCTAGTACAGAGAAGGCTGCTAGGAAAATTTAGTTTTGCTCCCCTGTAATAAGAGGAGTGGGGATTGACTGGTTAGGGCTGCTCAGTGCTTCACAGCTGCTGCTGCTGTTTCTTCCCCCTCTCTTCTAGGACAGTGGTCTCCAAACTGCGACCTTGGGGCCAGATGTGTCCCTTTGCTTTCTTTTATCCAGCCCTTGGGGCCAGTGGTGTATTTTGGTTTTGTGATGCCCTAGGCAAAACTAAAATCAGGTGCCCCCATGTAAATTTGTCCCACCCTTTCCTGTTTAAGATCCACTCCTTCATCTGTAAACTCCACCCCATCCTCTTTAGTCTCCATCTCTTCCTATTAGAGCCCCACCTCTTCAGAGGAGGGGGTTATTGTTTAGAGTGGAGTGGTTGGGATAGGTGGATATTGTTTAGGGTGGAGAGGCGGGGAGGGGGTTATTGTTTAGGGTGGAGAGGGGGATTATTGTTTAGGGTGGAGAGGTGGGGAGGGGAGTTATTGTTTAGGGTGTAGAGGTTGGGGGGGGGTTATTGTTTAGGGTGGAGAGGTAGGGAGGGAGAAGGGGAGTATTTGGGGTGTAGGAACTCCACAGCTGCCGATCACTGCCCTGCACTACAATACCCAGCAGACCCACCATCCCCCCCTCCAAGTAATTCTGCAGCAGCTGAGACACCCTGGGAAAGTGTTAGAGATGGGGGGAGGGGTAGCCTGGCTCAGGCCAGGACACCTTGGTTCCAGGACACACTACTCAGAATCACCATGCAGCTGCCCTGGGGTGGGGAACAGCAGGTTGCCAGGAAGAGACTCCGACTAATCTAAGGGGGAAGGGACAGCATGGGAGGGGAAAGGGCTGGTGTGGAAGGGGTTGTGGCCAGCAGAGGGGACACTGTATACGGGGACACTTTATCCCGCGACAACTGTAGCGCCTGACAGTATCATCCATGGGTGCAGTGTATGTCGAAGGCCGATGAACACCCTGCATCAATAGATGATATGCCACTGGCCTGGGGGGCTGCGCTGCCCCCCTGAAAAATGCCACCCAAGGCAAACACCTTGTTTGCTTCGTGGTACATATGTCCCTGCTTGGGGCACTATTTCATCCACTGACCTCAGCAAATGGACACAATTATTCTGAATGATTACAACAATGAGGCACAATTTCTACCAATAACACCAATGATGAGGCACAATTCTTCCCATTGATACCAACGATGGGGCACTATTTCTTCCACTGACACCAATGATGGGACACAAGTCTTCCCAATGAAACCAATAATGGGGCACTATTCCTCCCAGTGACACCAACCAGAGGGGATTATTCCTCCCACTGACACCAACAATGGGGCATTGTTTGCTCCCACTTACTCCCATTGACCACAGTCTGGCCCCCGTAAAGTCTGAAGGACACTAAACTGGCCCTTTGTTTAGAAAGTTTGGAGACCCCTGTTCTAAAGGATTCTAGAGACATAGTGGGAGGAAAGACATTGAGGGCAGCCTGAATGTTTATGGGACTCCAACCAATCCCTGGGGAAGACATTGAGGTCCCAGCTAGATTTAGCTCTAGGGCCTATTCGCATATTCAAGTCCAGGGATCAAGCTGTGTCTGGAGAAGCTCACAGGATAGAGCCAGGAGGAAGTTGGTGGAAAAGAGTCCAGCTGTCCTATTGTGGTGTAAGTCTACAACTTCCTCACTAGGAAGAGCCCAGTGGAGGCAACCGATGATCTTGTGGCTGTAGTTGACCCTCAGTGCTGGAGGAAAAGTGACTGTGTGTAGCTTTTTAAATTTGAAAGGTGTACAGGTCACATACGGTTTAAGAGATCCTGTGCGACATTTAGCAGTTTCTGTAGTTCAGCAAGCAGTGTGTGCAGTGCAGTCAACCATTCTGAGAAGTTGAGGAGTCCTCAGTTTATTCAGTTTTTCAGTCTGGGGGTGTCTCATGCTACCTTCTCAATTCATTGTTCCCATTAAAAATTTTAAATAGAACCCCTGTACTGTTTTGTGAGCCAGTAGAAAAGTGAAGAAAATGCTGGCTGTGAGCGCTATATGGGGGAAACAGGACCAAATTTGCTATCTGCTTCTTCGGGGGTGCACTAGACTTGTTTCATAGCATAGCAGGCAGGAGTGAATGCTTGGCTAAGATGTATCAGATATTGTACCTAGATTATATATATGTTCATTTGTTTCCCTATGCTAGAAAGACCCTCTTGGGTCCAACGTTTGGATCTCCTGTAAGGAAAATGGAATTGTTCCCTTCAAATGATCAATATGCAAGTAAAGGATATATGGCATATATCACAGATGATAAGGTATGTTTTCCTTCTCTAATTATGATAGTTTTATTGATTATGCTCACAAACCATACATTAATAAGGAGTTGCATGTTCTGTTTTAGTTATACATTTATCTAGTGATTGCCTGATAAATAGTGTTGTGTGGTGGATGAGAAAATACTATATCTACACATTATAGTTCTATTTCTGTCATAAAGATGTACTGATGGATTTAAATAAATGTGTTTGAGGAGGCGCAAATAAGGCTGGATGTTTCCAGGTCCACAGGTTTCATGTTCCTCATATTATACTACATTGCCATCTTTCCATCCCATTCTTGTTGCTTGAAGCTATGCTGTCAGCATAATAAAGTGGAGGGGTAGAAAGAAACACAAGAAACCATTTACAGTATGTGATATCCAGTCTACAGACTAGATCCTTTCACATCCAAGCAGTTGCCAGAGGTGCAGGTCTATGTGAGAGTACAGTGCCTTGAGAAAGTATTCATACCCCTGGAAATTTTCCACATTTTGTCATGTTACAATCAAAAACGTAAATGTAATTTATTGGGATTTTATGTGATAGACCAAGACAAAGTGGCATTTAATTGTGAAGCGGAAGGAAAGTGATAAATGGTTTTAAAAAGTTTTACAAATATGTGAAAAGTGTGGCGTGCATTTGTATTCAGTCCCCTGGTATCAATATTTTTTAGAGCCTCCTTTTGCTGCAATTACAGCTGCAAGTCTTTTTGGGGATGTCTTACCAGCTTTGCACAGCTAGAGAGTGAAATTTTTGCCCGTTCTTCTTTGCAATTTAGCTCAAGCTCTGTCAGATTGGATGAGGAGTGTCTGTGAACAGCAATTTTCAAGTCTTGCCACAGATTCACAATAGGATTTAGGTCTGGATTTTGACTGGGCCATTCTAACACATGAATATGCTTTGATCTAAACCATTCCATTGTAGCTCTGGCTGTATGTTTAGGGTCCTTGTCCTGCTGGAAGGTGAACCTGTGCCCCAGTCTCAACTCTTTTGCAGACTCTAACAGGTTTCTTCTAAGATTGCCCTTTTCTTGGCTCCATCCATCTTCCCATCAACTCTGACCAGCTCCTGTCCCTGCTGAAGAAAAGCATCCCCACAACATGTTGCTGCCACCATGGTTCATGGTGGGTATGGTGTGTTCAAAGTGATGTGCAGTGTTTTTTGTCCGCCACAGATAGTGTTTTGCTTTTAGGCCAAAAAGTTCAATGTCATCTGATTAGATCACCTTCTTCCACATGTTTGCTGTGTCCTCCACATGACTTCTTGCAAACTGCAAACAAGACTTCTTATGGCTTTCTTTCAACAATGGCTTTCTTCTTGTCACTCTTCCATAAAGGCCAGATTTGTGGAGTGCACGACTAATAGTTGTCCTGTTGACAGATTCTCCCACCTGAGCTGTGGATCTCTGCAGTTCCTGCAGAGTTATCATTGGCCTCCTGGCTGCTTCTCTGATTGATACTCTCCTTGCCCGGCCTGTCAGTTTAGGTGGACGGTCATGTCTTGGTAGGTTTGCAGTTGTGCCATACTCTTTCCATTTTCGGATGATGGCTTGAATAGTGCTCCATGAGATGTTCAAAACTTAGGATATTGTTTTATAACCTAACCCTACTTTAAACTTCTCCACAACTTTATCCCTGACCTGTCTGGTGTGATCCTTGGCCATCATGATGCTGTTTGTTCACTAATATTCTCTAACAAACCTCTGAGTGCTTCACAGAACAGCTGTATATATACTGAGATTAAATTACATACAGGTGGACTCGGTTTACTAATTAGGTGACTTCTGAAGGCAATTAGTTCCACTAGATTTTGGTTAGGTGTATCAGAGTAAAGGAGACTGAATACATGCAAGCCATATTGTAAAAACTTTTGAAAACCATTTATCAATTTCCTTCCACTTTACAATTATGTGCCACTTTGTGTTGGTCTATCACATAAAATCCCAATAAAATACATTTACATTTTTGGTTGTAACATGACAAAATGTGGAAAAATGTCAAGGGGTATGAATACTTTTTCAAGGCACTGTAGGGTACACATGAACCCCTGAGAGCTGCTTTAGCTCTGTTCACTATACATTATGCAAATTAAATGATGTATTTAATCAAAATTCTCAAATTATGTGCTTACCTTGCATCAGTACTGGTTTGATGTGAAAATACCATATTTCATCATTATTCTACCAGATTTGGTACATTATGGATCATGTATGCAAATGTGATCTAAGATGTTTTGGATACAAATGCTGCTTTTTACTCTTGGTGCATTCCTACACCCACTTCAAGAAAAGTAGGTAAAAGTGTAAATTGATGTCACACAGCCAGTTTTCCATAGGGCTTGAAATTGAAATTCTTGCCCAAAGAAGTGTTCCAGAGTTGTGCTTGGGCAAAAATTGGGTTATTTTTAGCTACCCTAGGAGGTAATAAGTGCTTATAATGCTTGCAGTATTTATGATATTATATAATAAGATTTTTTTTTTACATTTGGAAAAAAACATTTCAAAACTTGGCTGATCCTTCCATCCCTGTTGTGACCGACAAGTTCAGAAGAAGGTCTTGACCACACCCACAGAATGTTAGATCTGTCCATAGGGCACCTGACTTGGGAAGCAATGGCAGGTCCCTGCATCACAAACAATATCTCCACATCCACTTTAGGGAGACTTCAGCTTATCTACAGATAACTTTAGATTAGTCTTTTCTTTAAACCAGAAAAAAAGTTACAAAAAGTAAAGTAGCATCGCTCAACTGTGACCAGGCTTCAGTGACTCCACATTTATATAACCCTCAAATATAACATCAAGGCAGCAGCTTTGTAACATCCAAATGTGAAGGACTTTATTGGCTGTGTGGTCATAGGCTGTGCAAGGACCCTGACATGCTTCGGCTGTCAGGCCCTAGTCGTAGCATCATTAATTCAAGTTCCTATACTTACGACAGTGGTTGAGAGTTCATCTACTGTGCATTACGAGTATAACGTTTGGCCTCTGCGTTGTCCTATTACGGTACAAATTAGCATATAAAGTGGAAATAGACATATTGTTATTAATAAAATGTGTTTAATAACAACAAATTCCTGTAAGACCAATGTCTATTTAATCTAGGTCGGACTTCACATCCTACCTATTGATGGAAACCCACACAAGTCTGTGGCTCTCATTTGCCATCCCAATGGGGTAGCCAATGTTGTCTGCTCACCTGATGGGCAATATGTGTTTACTGCTGGAGGAAATGATTACACAGTTTTTATGTGGAAAACAAACTTTCAGTAAGTACAAAATGCATTCCTCATAAAATATAACATACTGTATGTTAGTCATTTACCATGTTTAAAATGATTAAAAATAAACATATATGGGCAGGATATTATTTATATAAATAATACCATCAAAATGAATAGAAGCATAGCAGTGAAAAGGTGAATAGACTCTCTGCTATGGTGTAATTTGAAAACCACAATCCTGATAAGTAAAGTATAAATTCTAGGTAAAAAGAGCAAACAGGAGGCGCACACCGTTAGTGCATTATCCAAGGTTTAGTAAAAGTAAAAAGGGCTGAAAACATACAAACATGGCATAAATGTAAAGCTCAGTAGAACGGTAGAGATGGCCATAGCAATGGCGGGGTGTCCAACTGTCAGTGTGGTCGGCTAGCTGACGTGTTTTGGGGACGAGTCCCTTTCCTCACAGCTGGTCAACTGGTCAACCTGTTTGCTCTTTTTTCAGTTGTTGATTTCCCTATCTAAGGAGGGCAGCATCTCCAAAAGGCTATCCATAGGCGATTTTGGTCCTGGTTCCCTTGGTTTTCCTTTGGCATTTGATCCCTGGGGCGCTGGAGAGTTTATTCTGTTATAAATTTCTAGGTAGGATAATACTTTATATTGAGATGTAGGTGGTAGCAGAGAGACTTGCAATAATATCAAGGGATTAAAAAATTCCCTAATTCCATGCCACCCTCATAGTAACATAGACAGAGTTTGGCAATTTAGCAGTATGCTTCAGGATTGAAGTCTGACTATAAAAGCACAGTGATTTCTATATGGAATCACTGTATTTCATGGTTGTGTTGAAATGCCAACTTTCTCCAGCAGGTGGTACTGTGGGTAAAAGAAAATTAATTTATAGTTTTATGCTCACCTAGAACACCAGAGATATAGGAGGAGATGATACCTCTAAGGATACAGAGGAGAATTTCAAGTTTTACTAGCTTACAAGCTATACTATCAAGCATGTATAAACAAAGCTAGGGAAAGTCATTAAAGTCATCATATGGCAGCTGCTTGTTAGGAGTGTCTGGTTTTGCTCTTCATTAGGTGGTGGTGCCATAGACATTTATAGAGTGCCAGACTATTTGTTGTTGGGATAGGTCACATGACTGTACTGTGTATTAATAATATTATATTTTTACTCTAAAAACAAAACAAAACAAAAACTTTGAATAAAAATATCTTTTGTTTGTTATTTATTTATTGTAACACTAATCTGTATATATTACATTTCTGTTTTGTTACAGGTCTTTGGAGGCTGTTGCTTCCCTTGGGGGTAATGACTTAATACCTTTCTATGGGATGCTGCCTGGGGGAAGAGATGGAGCATTATTCAAGGTTAATATTTAGTCATATGAAACATGTAATTCTCTACGACATTGTTTGTTTGTTTCCATTCATTTATTATTAGTTCTTTTTTTTTTTTTTACAAAATGATAAATAACTTAGAGAGCAGTCCTTTAGCTACAGTAAAGGCCATAAGGAACCTTATTTTTAAAAAAGATCTTGATTCCCAATATATATGTGTGTATCTGGAGCTCAGAGTGTGAGGAACACTGAGGTTTATCCAGTCTATTTTCTGTCTACAATACACCATCAGATCTGTGACATTAGTTCGTTGTTTCCTGTGTCAACACTAAATATTAGAGGTGGACTCTGAGGATTGAGTATCAAGCATGCTACTATCCCCTTTTGTGGCCACATCTTTCTTTATCTTGCTGTTCCTATCTTTCTTGAGAGCTCTCATCAGTTTGAATGATATGGCTATATAACAATACGGTGCACGGTAGATATACAGTGATAGAGTAGAGATACTTCATTTAGTCCTTAGACATGACATCTCTTGCTTTAGTGGGTGTAGTTATATATAGTTTATGTGTTTTTTCTTTTTTTATATATATAATAAATGAGACTTGTATGATATCTGTCAGCATCTGTTTGTGATTTTCTGCCAAATATATGCTATACTAGCTTGCACTTGGCATATATACAATAATTGTGTATCTGGGTAGAGGTCCATTTTATTTAGTTCTGGCCCCTTATTAAATAATCCTGACTTTCCTCCTGGACTACAGTCTCACTTATTTAAAATGTTGGGAAAATAAAGGCCTCCTAAGGATTGGAGACTTTCTGTTTGGAAATGACATCTGAAGTCTGGACTTGCAACTGCTTCTTCTGAAGTGTTTATATACCACCAAATCATTTCTTACCTTGGAGCTAAGTTGAAACAATGAAACATGCCCCTCACCCATTTTCACTAACACCGCTTGATCTTTCGTCCTCATGCACAGTGGACGTTTTTACAGCGGCTGTTTTTGGCTTTTTACGTTTTTTTCTACAGCCAGTAAGCCCCCCAGCATGTTATCCTATGTGTCCATGCACACATAGACTGTAATCAACGTTTTTTGGCTGGAAAAACCCCCCCCCAGAACTAGTGGGTTTCTAGAGGAGTTATTTAGCTGTAAAAACATTCTAATGCTGAAAAATGTGGTAAAACCGGCGTCTTTGGATGTTTTTTTTACCCCAAAAAAATGTTTTTCTGGTAAAAGAAACGCTTAAAACCGCAAACACGGAAAAACATGGGAAAACACTTCTAAACGCTAATGCAAAAACACTAAAAAAAAGCTGAAAAACTCATGTTTTTAACGTGACTTTACACAGCTACCGTTACCAGCGTTATCAAAACACCCCGTGTGCATGAGGACTTCTTGTAAAACTAGAGATTTCACAAAGGGCCGTATTCCTATACTTTATAATCTTTTAATGGAGCGCAACCCATAAACTTCCTTTATAGAACTATGGGAGTGTGATCTTAACCACTTCCATACCGGGCACATTTACCCCCTTCCTGCCCAGGCCAATTTTCAGGTTTCAGCGCTGTCGCACTTTGAATGACAATTGTGCGGTCATACAACATTGTACCCAAACTAAAATTAAATTTTTTTCTTCACACAACTAGAGCTTTCTTTTGGTGGTATTTAATCACCACTGGGGTTTTTATTTTTTGCTAAATTAACAAAAAAAGACCAAACATTTTGAAAAAAAAAAACCCACATTTTTCTTTGTTTCTGTTATAAAAGTTTGCAAATAAATAATTGTTCTTCCTAAATTTAGGCCAAAATGTATTCTGCTTCATGTCTTTGGTGAAAAAAACCCCAAATTAGTATTTATTATTTAGTCTGTAGGAAAATTATAGAGTTCATAAATTATGGTATATCTGAATATTGATCAATCCTGAAGTTCTGACAGCCAATCAAATTTCTTGAGGTCCAAGAATGTCAGAACAGTACAGATATCCCCAAATGACCCCTTTTTGCAAAGTAGACAGTCCAACGTACTTCATAAGAGGCATGGCGAGTTTATTGAAGTTGAAATTTTTTTGTCATAATTTTTCGGAAATGAAGAAATAAAAAAAATGATTTTCACTATTTTTTTTTTTTACATACTGTCACCAGTGCAGTACAGCATCATCATATAACTGGCATGGCGGTGATCAGGGACACGGACTGGTGACAGTAGGAAAAAAAAAAAATTGATAATTTTTTTACATTTTTTTTTATTTTTGTATTATTTTTTATTACATTTTTTCCTTTTTTAAGATTTTTTTTTCAGATTTCACTATGACCATTGTAACATTGTACTACTTTGGGGAAGTGAGCTATATTTTTTTTTTTACACAATTTGCTTATAGCAAAGTATTACTTTGCTATAAGCAAGCATTTACCTGAATGAAATCAATTCATTCAGGATTTTTTTTTTTCTTAACTGTGAATTGGCCACAGGTAATCACATGACACCGCTGGGCTGTGATTGGCCCAGCTTGTGCATGTGATTGCTGTGACCATTCACAGCTAGCCACACTTGTATACAATGGATGGCATGATAGGAAGCTATCCATTGTATACAACTGTCATGTGACCTGCTGTGATTGGTCACAGCAGGTCACATGGTACTGGCAACGGGGCCGGTACACAGATCTGTCATCGGCCGTGTCTGAGGTACACGGCTGGTGACAGATCGCGCCGCTGCGCGGCTCTGCTGGCATGCAAACTGCGCATGCCTGAAAGGACGCCATATTAGCGTCCACCCAGAGGGACAAGGGTTTTTGCTGACTGCCATTCGGCCATAGGCCGGGCGGGAACCGGTTAATAAGACATTAGATCTTTCTGAATTTTTTATATAGCCAATAATTTATCCAAAATATCCATTAATACAACCCTAGTTGAATCGAATTTAAAATCTTTGCTTAGATGGTATACATGGTCCCCAATAAGGGTAGCCAAGATGTGCCCACAAGTGTCTTTGTCCTGTTTCCAACAATATGGCCAGGTAGGCACTATATAAGACGGGCACCGTTCTAAATAATCCAAAGAGTCTGATGTGTGCAAGATGGCCTCAGAATCCACTCCAGCCATGCACTCTGACACAATTTGCCCACCCACTGGGGGTTTGGTTACATGCCCCGCCCACCTCTGTGACCAAGCCCTGGTGGGGTTTGCTAAACACGTCAGAGGGCGTGGCCGAAGCGACTGTCCAAACCATCTTTGGGTTGGTTTGAGCGGTGTCCATCCCCTCATTGCATTGGAGCTACTGGAAGCACTTTGGGATGCTGCTCATCTCTCCACATACTGGCGGGGTTACTCTTTTTTTTCTTCCCAGTTTGGAGTGTCACCACAAGGTCTTCTTTACAGTCAGGCAGGCACTATGTTTCATGTTTGGTGGCAGTGCCCTAAGGTGGATAGGTTTTGGATTGGACTGGTAAACCTGATCCGTTAGGTGATGGGGTGAACATACCTAGGATACCTTAAATTGCCCTCTTTAAAAGTTAGATATTGAGGGGATTGAGCTTCCTAAACATTGGAAACGATTGGTCTCCTACACATTTCTTGCAACTACAATTGCGATTGCACTGAACTGAAAGCGGTCAGTTGCGGTCTTCCAATATGTCAAACAGAAACTGAATTGGATCATGATTAATGATAAACTCTCATGTTCCCTTAATAATACCCAAACTAAATTTAATAAGACATGGAACCTGAGGTTATATTATCTGCCAATGCCCAGTGAATGGCTGTGCAGGGGTGTGTGTGTAGGGGAAGGGGGTATTAGGACAAGTCTGATCATTAGAGGGGAGCAAACTGAGTTCCTGGCATACCTAGAGAACTGAACACAGTGTGCTCTCCTGCCTAGTGTGGTCAGTTTGTAATAGGAAAACAGAGGGACTGGCAGGAACACCAGGTATTTCACATAAAGAAAGCAATACATAGAGAACAGAATACCTTTTCATACAAGTATATGGTACAGCAGGCACATATCAAGAATATTAAATACTGGGTTTACATATTCTTTAAATAATTAGCACCAGTTCTCAGATTAGGAAATTGGAGGTAATTAGGGCCAGCTCAGAGCTACCTTACAGAGGTATAGCAGTAATATTATCTCTTATGGGGCATGTCTATGCTGTCATGTATGTGACAACATCCTGCACAGTACTGTATCTCCAGCCCCATTCAGCTGTCAGATGGGAGATTCTCTGGCCTAAATGTAAGAGTGACTGTTTGTGGTTGCCCAGCCATACATGTAAGGGCAATAGAATACGCATCTTGAAAGGTAACCATTCTTTTACTAAACAGAGGGCTGCATATTAATGTACTGAGTTCCCTGTAATGCGTTATTGATGTTTTTTTTGCATACTAACTCTTTAAAGAGATTGTATTCAATAGGACAGCATCACAATTGATAAATAAATGGATGATTGTAGTACTTGTTCACATTTGCTTGTGTTTTGTGTAGGAGCTGGAAGATTACTTTTACTATGCTCAAATGCGTAACCAGGGTATTGATACAATGGAGACCAGACAAGTTTCAACAGATATTCCCTTGAAAGAAGTTCCTTTCATCATGCGAGCACTGGGATATTATCCAACAGAACAAGAGGTATTTAAAATGTGTGTATAAAGCTTGAAACTATAGAATTTGTAAATAATGAATGGATTTAAATTATTACTAAATAAGAAAAAGAAATATTTTAAATCAGTGGTCCTCAGCCATTGATATTTATTTCAGGTACTTCTATAGCACCGTCAATTTACGCAGCACTTTACATATATATTGTACATTCACATCGGTCCCTAACCCTCAAGGGGCGTACAATCTAAGGTAGATATGGGAGCTCTAGTCCTCATGCACGCTTGATGTTTTATACAGCTGCTGTTTTTGGCTCTTGACATTTTTTTCTACAGCTAGTAAACCCCCCAGCATGTTATCCTATGTGCCCATGCACACATAGACTGTAATCAACGTTTTTTGGCTGGGACGTTTTTGGTCTGGAAAAAAAAAAACAGGACTAGTGGGTTTCTAGAGGAGTTTTTCAGCTGTAAAAATGCTCTAAAGCTGAAAATCATGGCAAAACGCAGTAAAATGCCAGAAACCGGCATTTTTTGATTCTTTTTGACCAAAAAAAACCCGCTAAAAAATGCTAAAAACCGCAAACGCGGGAAAATGCCGCTAAACGCTAATGCAAAAATGCTAAAAAACTAATGTTTTTATTGTGACTTTACACAGCTAACGTTAGCAGTGTTATCAAAACGTCCCGTGTGCATGAGGACTTTGGCCTCGTGCACATTGCAGCTCAAAGAAACTGCTCCTACAGGTGTTTCAGCTTTTACTTTTCTCTGCCTGTTAACTCCCCTCCATGATAGCCTATGTGTCCATACACACTATAGGTGTTTTCAGGAATTTAGTGGCAAGGGAGTTTACAGGTAGAAAATAAAAACTTATTTTTAACCTTCCCTAAAAACACTGCTTAACTCTGGTAGGAGAAAAACATCTTTACGCCTACAGTGTACATGAGGCCTTATATGCTTCTTATCTACCTTTGATGATTCTTACAGCAGCTTTTTAGCAGTTGCTCAGTATAAAACACCTGCTGTATTATGCACTTCCCATAAGCATGAATCTATGCAATTGTATGTGATAAAAAATTGTCAGTGTAATTCTATAACAGTTATCTACAGGTACCTGCATATCAGTTCAGTTTTAGAAAAACTTAGTTTGCACATGCCCTGGGATTGCCCTGGCTCACAAAACTGAACTGACTTGAAGGCTCTGGTAGATGGCTGTTATGACATACCCAGGGGCGGACTGACAACTCATGGGGCCCCCGGGCAATAGGGGATCATGGGGCCCCTGTGTCCTTGCCCAAAATCAAAAAAGCCTATGAAAAAGGTACCAGGGGCATCTCATGGGGCCGCCTACTGACCCCGGGCCCTTGGGCAGTGCCCAAGTTTCCAAATGGTCAGTCCGCCCCTGGACATACCACTGGTGTGTTGCAACATTCGTGAGACTTCAGGTACAGTGAAGGAAATAATATTTGATCCCCTGCTGATTTTGAATGTTTTCTCACTCACAAAGAAATGATCAGTCTAAAATTTGAATGGTAGGTGTATTGTAACACGGAGAGGCAGAATAGCAACAAAAAATTCAAAAGAAATGCATGCCTAACAAATGATGCACTAATTTGCATGTTCATGAGGGAAATAGTAACAAGCTGAGATTAGAAGCAGTCTCTTAAAGGGAGACTAATGCTAATGTCATTCTGTTACCTGTATAAAAAAGATACCTGTCCACAGGAGCAATCAAACAATCAGATTCCAAACTCTCCACCATGGCAAAGACCAAAGAGCTGTCCAAGGATGTCAGGGACAAGATTGTAGACCTACACAAGGCTGGACTGGGCTACCAAACTATCACCAAGCAGCTTGGTGAGAAGGTGACAACAGTTGGTGCAATCATTCGCAAATGGAAGAAACACAAAACAACTGTCAGTTTCCTTAGGTCTGGTGCACCATGCAAGATCTCACCTCGTGGAGTGTAAGTGATCATGAGAACAGTGAGGAATCATCCCAGAACTCCACGTGAGGATCTTGTGAATGATCTCCAGGCAGCTGGGACCACAGTCACCAAGAAAACAATTGGTAACACACTACGTTGACAAGGATTGAAATCCCGCAGTACCCGCAAGGTCCCTCTGCTCAAGAAAGCACATATCCAGGCCCATCTGAAGTTTGCCACTGAACATCTGAATGATGCAGGGGAGGACTGGTTGAAAGTGTTGTGGTCAGATGAGACCAAAATCGAGCTCTTTGGCATCAACTCAACTCGCCATGTTTGGAGGAGGAGGAATGCTGACCCCAAGAACACCATCCCAACTGTCAAACATGGTGGTGGAAACATTCTGCTTTGGGTTTGTTTTTCTGCAAATGGGAAAGGACAACTGCACTGCATCAAAGGGATGATGGACGGGGCAATGTACCGTCAAATCTTGGGTGAGAATCTTCTTCCCTCAGCCAGGGCATTGAAAATGGGTCGTGGATGGGTGTTCCAGCATGACAATGACCCAAAACACACGGCCAAGGCAACAAAGGAGTGGCTCAAGAAGAAGCACATTAAGGTCCTGGAGTGGCCTAGCCAATCTCCAGACCTTAATCTGAATGAAAATCTGTGGAGGGAGCTGAAAGTTTGAGTTGCCAAACCTCAGCCGCCAAACCTTAATGACTTGGAGAGGATCTGCCAAGAGGAGTGGGTCAAAATCCCTCCTGAGATGTGTGCAAACCTGGTGTCCAACTACAGGAAACGTCTGACCTCTGTGATTGTCAGCAAGGGATTTGCCACCAAGTACTAAGTCATGTTTTGTGAAGGGGATCAAATACTTATTTCCCTCATGAAAATGCAAATCAGTGCATCATTTGTTAGACATGCATTTCTTTTGAATTTTTTGTTGCTATTCTGCCTCTCAGTGTTACAATACACCTACCATTCGATTTTTAGATGGATCAATGCTTTGTGAGTGGGCAAACATTCAAACATTCATCAGCAGGAGGTCAAATACTTATTTCCTTCACTGTATGTAAAGGAAACCTTTCAGCATAGAAACACAGAAGCTGCCACTGCTGACGGTTTTGAAGGTGCATGTTTCATGGTGTTATTCTTATCTTGTTTCACTTCCAAGTAGTAAAGGAAGAACAATAAATATGACATACCTTGACCATGTACAGTTGTGTTCAAAATAATAGCAGTCAGACATCACTAACCTGATCAATCACTGTTTTTGGTAGAAATTATATTTCTACATGGCAAATAATTTACTAGCAGGTGTAGTAGAGTAATAGAAATCGAACAGACCCAACAGTCATGACATGCATGCTGCTGATTCTGTGTAATTGAATCACTAATTGAAAGGGGCATGTTCAAAATAATAGCAGTGTGGAATTCTATTAGTTAGGTCATTAATTCTTTGAAAAACCGGTGGCAATTATTGCCCTTATTTAAGGAAGGAAGGCAGCAAATGTTGTACATGCTAGTTACAGTGCATTTCTCTCTGAGGAAAATGGGTCGTTCCAGACATTGTTCAGAAGAACAGCGTACCTTGATTAAAAAGTTGATTGGAGAGGGGAAAACATATAAAGAAGTGCAGAAAATGATAGGTTGCTCAGCTATGATCGCAAATGATCGCAAATGCTTTAAAATGGCAACCAAAACCTGGAAGAAAGCGAAAAAAAAAAAAAACTACCATTCGAATGGATAGAATAGCCAAAATGGCAAGGACTCAGCCAACAATCAGCTCCAGGGAGATCAAAGAAGGTCTAAAGTTACCTGTGAGTACTGTTACAATTAGAAGACTCCTATGTGAAGCCAAGCTATCTGCAAGAAGCCCCCGCAAAGTCCCACTGTTGAAAAAAAGACGTGCTGAAGAGGTTACAATTTGCCAAAGAGCACACTGACTGTCCTAAAGAGAAATGGCGCAACATTTTGTATACGGATGAAAGTAAGATTGTTCTTTTTGGGTCTAGTGGCCGGAGACAGTTTGTCAGACGACCCCCAAACACTGAATTCAAGCCACAGTACACTGTGAAGACAGTGAAGCATGGTTGCACAAGCATCATGATATGGGGATGTTTCTCATACTACGGTGTTGGGCCTATTTATCGCATACCAGGGATCATGGATCAGTTTGAATACATCAGAATACTTGAAGAGGTCATGCTGCCTTATGCTGAAGAGGAAACGCCCTTGAAATGGGTGTTCCAACAAGACAATGACTCCAAACACACCAGTAAACGTGCAACATCTTGGTTCCAGACCAACAAGATTGACGTTATGGAGTGACCAGCCCAATCCCCGGATCTTAATCCAATAGAAAACTTGGGTGACATCAAAAATGCAGTTTCTGAGGCAAAACCAAGAAATAGAGAAGAACTGTGGAATGTAGTCCAATCATCCTGGGCTGGAATACCTGTTCACAGGTGCCAGAAGTTGGTTGACTCCATGCAACACAGATGTACAGCAGTTCTCAGAAACAGTGCTTATACAACTAAATATTCATTAAGTGATTCAAAGGAAAGCAAAATCTTCAAACATTTTTCAGTTTTATATAGTGAATGTTTGAGTTTGTAAAGAACAATACAAACACTGCTTTTTTTTTTTGAACAGTCTAATATTCACTTTTCTTCAATTCTTTTATTTCAGATAGGCAAAGAACAGTGGGCAGGAAGCATCCCATAATAAACTCAATTCTTAGACAACCTAAAAGGGTGCCCAATTGAATGTAAAAACCCCATCTTAGAGAACACTTCCATTTAGTACCATGAAGGAGCCCGATTCAACCCCTTTTATGCAATAAAAGTACTCTCACTGGTACTGCAATAGCAGTGGACCAACAAAGAGTCAGACAATACAGTAAAGACTCATTTTATTATGGGTGGAATGTAATGGCAACAGACCCACCAAAATGTCACTAAACTTTGCAAAACCATCCTGTTTACTTGGTGCTAAATTACTCCAATGATCTCATCCCCTTTATATGCATCTGCTCCCTCTGAGCATGCAAAGAATTTCCAGCTGAGGTCAAATATGAGAAGCAGAAGCATCAGAAGCAGCAGTGGAATGAGATATTTTTTAAGGATTTTATGGTTTCCATTTATTATATTATTAATAAGAAGATGAGTTAATATTTACACACTATTCTGCCTTTTTGTTGTTGTTTTAAGCCAAGAGAGACCTTCGTAAAAAATACATGCTGACTGCTTATCTTTAAAAACACTGAAATGTAAGAACAAACACATTATAGCAAAATATAATATTTTGTCATCTTCTGTGTTTAGGTAGAAAATATACTAAATGAAATAAAATTTAGTGAGTATGTAAACACTGGAAAACAAGTTAACCACATAGACCTTGGGGACTTCGTAAAGCTCTACATAAATCACAGACCTGCATTTGGATTATGCTTAAATGAGCTACAACAGGCATTTCAAGTTCTTGGTTTCACTAACGAGAAAGGGGAACTGGCTGTAAACAGAGGAGATTTACTGCAACTTCTGCAGACAAGAGGTGAGTAACCAGAACACTAAAATGTATTATTAACAAGGTTATATCTTCCTACAATACAATGCAAAATACTGATGGGAAAAATTATTTTTGAAATGTATTTATATGAGGGCGTTCAAGTCGAACTGGGACTTTTGAGTTTATATAATAAATGAACAAATTTCAAAGAGTGGAAACTGCATTTATTTCTTGACATACTCCCCTGCTCCATTTATACACTTATCCCAGTGTTTATCTAATGCCTCGAAGGCATCAGCATAGGAAGATTTGTCAGTACGCCTGAACCATCCTAGGACAGCCTGCTTCACTTCGTCATCATTGTGTTCACTGTTCCGACAGAAGAATTTATCTCTTGAAGTTACCTGGCTTCAGGTGTTAAAGATTACTTTCAGTCAAAATTAAAAATGAAAGGATAAGTTCACCTTTTGGACAAAAATAATAAACGCACATTTTTGCAGGGAAAAAAATGTGCATTTATTATTTGTGTCCAAAGAAGCCTGTAAAGCATTGCCCCAGCGATCAGTAGATCACTGATGCAATGCGGGTCTCCTTCAGACCTGTTAGAATATCTGCTTGCCCCGGGGTGTACGAGCAAGCAGATATACTGACAGGAAGCTTCATTGAACTACCACGGTGCTCCACAGCGCTGTAATAGTTCATTGAAAACTACAAGCCAACAGCCCCTAAGGCTGTTGGGACTTGTAGGCAGTCATTCACAGAACACTGTGAATGAGTGATGCAGTCGTGTGGGCAGAGCCCCGCATGGCTACGCTGTTTTCAAATCTCACAGTACAGGCAAACTTCTCCCCGTACTATCTGTCAGAGGGAGGGGGCGCGGTGGGTGCAGCTATGGCTATAGGAACATTTTACATGTTCCACCCTTAAAAAGGGTGGAACTTGTAACATGTTCTCAAAGGTGAACTTATCTTTTCTATTTCAATGGTTTTTATTAATTTTTTAAACCGTATAAAACAGAGGCAATAAAACACGCCCACGCAGGGGCTATCAATTGCACGGATAAAAAAAAAAAAGCAAAATAAAAAAAAGGAAAAAACAGTGCTCTAACGCCAACAGGGCAAAAGGTACACCCACGCAGGGGCTATCAATGGCACATAAGTTACAAAACATTAATGTAACTGACTATAACAACTAAATGCAGCTGTCCAGTCACACCAAAAACAGAGAGAGAGAGAAAAAGGAAGAGAGGAAAAAAAAAAAAAAAAAAAGAGGGCAAAGAGCAGGGGTCCAAGAGCGCCAATACCAAACGCCATTACATCCCCAGGCTAGCCGGGGGAGTGAAGGAAAGGCATATTGCAACCACGGCTCCCATATTTTCAAAAATTTACGTTGGGAGTCGTTGCGGATACTCGACATCTGTTCGTTGAGCATCATAGTGGTCATACGATCCCGCACCCCCTGAAGAGGGACAAACGGGCTCTTCCAGGCCTGAGCAATTGTTCTAGTGGCCGATAAAAACAGATAGGAAGCCAACGTCTGCTGGTGAGCCAAGAGGCCCGGTATGGGGCAATGAAGCAAAGCATACTGAGCATCCCGGCGTATAGAGAGATGGAACAAAGTGAAAAGGAGGCCAAACACACGAGACCAAAAACGAAACAGTCTTGGGCATGACCACCAGGTGAACTTATCTTTTAAGCCTTAAGATACAAAATGTACCAGTCCACTCTTCTTCTTTGTTATGTTGATATAGTTTGGTCTCCCTGATATCTCAGAAGTACTCAAACTGTCCTCCATCCTTCTTTCCTTTTTCCATCTCTTTTCCCATTTTTTCTTCATTTTAAAGAACAAAATACACTGCTCAAGGGCGTTTCCCTCTTCCGCTACCATACATACACTAAATCCCAGGTGCTGGCCCTGTCTGCAGAACACTCCAATATACAAACATACATCTCATGTCTGCACATCCAGTAAAATCACCTTTATTTTTTCTTATAGCATATTCCACAAACATGACAGGGATACAGGACTCCAGCTAACACATTTCATGCTCCACTAGCATTTAGTCATAGCTCCTTATTAGAAACAGCCTGTAAACCCAGACTATGAGGAGTGGAAGAATACAGGCTGGTAACATCGCACGTGACCCATACATAGTCAGATTGCCATTCAAAATCCTGTAACCTCGCTAGTAGCTGCTTACTATCTCTAAGATAGCTGGGTAATTTGATCACTAGTGGTTGCAGCTGATGATCCACCCACAGGCTGAGAACCTATGCCTGCAACTATAGGTCTGGCCCTTCAGGGGATTTAACCCTTGGGCAAGTGGTGAAACACAGGCATCACAGGTGCTTGCGGAATCAACATCTCACCTTTATCCTGTGAAAAGATACCAGCTCTTATTGCCCTTGAAATCAAAGATTTCAAATCCTGTGTAAAAGAAGCTGTAGGATTGCTCTTGAGTCTCATATGAGTACGTACATCTGACAGCTGACACAAAGCCTCCTCCTTATATACAGCCACATCCAACACCACTATAAGACCTCCTTTGTCGGAGTTTCTAATATGGATGTTGGGATCATCTCTAAGTGTTTTCAAAGCCAATCTCTCCTCCACTGAAAGATTGTCAAAAAAATCATGATCCAAACTAGAAACCTTCAAGGCTAGACGTGTAAGATCTTTCTCAACCAGTCTCTGAAACTGGTCCATATCCTTACCTCTGGAAGAAATTGGATACAAATCAGATCTAAGCCTGAAAGGTATAGTGGTGGTACTAAAATGATCAGCAGGTGTTGGACCAGACTGAGGCCAGATCTTCAAGATTACACTGCACACAATTCACTGAAGATGAGACTCTGGGAATCAACACTATGATGTTTCCATCCCAACCTCACTAGATTCATTATAAAAATATTTCTTAAGGGTCAATGTACGAACAAATTTCTTGACATCCAAAATAGTTTCAAATAAATTAAAATGCCTGTTAGGACAAAAATGCAAACCCTTTGAAAGAAGAGAGATCTCATCGTTAGACAACCTCCTACAAGACCAATTCAAAATATTATGGGCTTGGCAGGAATGTTCGTGTGAAGGAACCCTATGAGTAATTTCTCTGTCTGACCCTGAAGCTGGTAACGAATGCTTCCATTTGTATTTATGTTTCTTGCCTCCCTTCCTTGTTTTGGTATACCCTGCTGTTTCTTTCTGTTCTGTTTGTGGGACTTACCTTTTAAATGCAGTGAAACAGAGGGGCAATTTTCAATATTAGAACAGCCACTAGGATCAGGTGATGAATCAGAAGCTGTCACTGCCAAGGTGTCATCCAAAAGGTCATTCTCTGGATCAGAAAAGCTGACTCTTTTCTTAAAAGTCATATGTCCCTTTTTAGGCTTCAACATATACACCGTTTATTTCCCCACATATATACATTATGAGCTATGACAAAGTGCTAGTGGAGCTTGAAACGTGTTAGATGGAGTCCTGTATCCTTGTCATGTTTATGGAAGATGCTATAAGAAGAAATAAAGATGATTTTACTGGATGTGTGGCCATCGGATGTTTGTTTATTGGATTTTTTTCTTTCTAGATATACTAAAAAATAAATAATAGGGACATACTATTTATAAACTGTGTTGTCCCTAAGACCCTCATTGTTCCTAATGCATAGAATGCATTAAGGTAAAAAACCTTTTATAAACCGATGGAAGACCTGTAGTTTTTCTGTGCTTTAGAGTTTCTGCCTCTGTTATTTACATGAATTCTAGAATTTTGTGCTGTATTGGTTATAACATTTCAGTTGTTATTGGGGCTATAGGTTCTTCAATACTTCAATATTTCACACTGTAATAATAATTTAGTTTCATTCTTTATCTTAATATAACACAAGTTAGAAAAAAAGGGCAGAGGTAGTAGCTTAATGTTCCCTGATTCCCCTGAATATATTTAAATAACAGCTGATTGTAAAGCACACTTTTCATGTAAGTCAGCCATTCTCAGGGTTCCTTGGAACCATACAGTTCATCCACAGGTTGCTAGGAATTCCTTGAGCTGTGGTTGATTGTCTTTTTTTCTGATGGTGTCTACATAGTTTTGGGTCTACTGCCACTTGGCCGAACCAGCAGCAAGACACCAGTGATCTTTTTAGCTGTGTATAATTCTGACCACCACTTTAAGGGAGGCATTCTTCCCACTGACCACGAATATAAGGGACATTCTTCCAACTGACCATCAATGTCCATGACATACGTATTAGATTGTAAACTGTCACAAGCAGGGCTTAAACCTGCTGAAACTGTTGAGAAAGGCTGATGTAAGTAATTGAGTTTTATAATTTTCACCTAAATCACTCTGATGTGAACATGTTGCACGCAGGTGAGCATATGACAGAAGAAGAGCTTGCAGAATATCTTACAACCTTGTTGGGATTAAATCCTGAAGGTGGAAGTTCAGAGTTGGGCATCTATAATTCTACAGGTTTGTAACAAAATTAAACATTTTATTATTTTAAAACTTACCTGCTAGGTTAAAAAGGTTAAACAAAGGAACACTACTCATTACGTGCAGCAAAGTTTTCTGAGCAATCAAGGAGCCCCTTGAGTCCCCAACGCAAAGTATATAGATCAGGGGCAGACTGACAACTCATGGGGCCCCCAGGCAATAGGGGATCATGGGGCCCCTGTGTACTCACCCACACTCAAACCACACCCAAAAAAAGCCTATGAAAGGTACCAGGGGCATCTCATGAGGCCCCCTACTGACCCCGGGCCCTCGGGCAGTGCCCGAGTTCCCAAATGGTCACTCAGTCCGCCCCTGATATAGATCCTTCAGCTTTTATTCCATCTTACTCCAATTTAAAGTGCGCTCATCTGTTGAGTACTGATGCACTTGTGTTATAGTTTTAAATGGCATCAAGTGTGCCAGAGTGCCAAGTCAAAGCACAAATTGAAGGCTGTATATAATATTTCATGGAATCACTGGGTTTCTTGGATGATTGCTTTTGTTATTTGGAATGATAGTTTCACTTTTAAAAGGAAATACAGTATACATATTGTGGGGTTCTATTCTAGGATTCATTAGGGTTGACTTCCTAAAACTGGAGAATGCAAAACCTGGTACAGCAGTGCATGGTATCCAATCAGCTCCTAACTTCAGCTTGTTCAATTAAACTTTGACAAAAAAAAATCTGGAAGCTGTTGCTTTCTGTGCAGAGCTGCACCAGATTTTGCACTCTCCAGTTTTAGTAAATCAACCGTATAATGTGTAGTCAACTGTAATTCTCTCAACATCCTGCGGTTAACTGCATCTTTATTTTCTGAATGGCTCCAAGTGTTCACCTTTGAAAATGCACAGCCAGTGTTTCCAGATTCCCAGTACTGCCTTCTGTAGTTATTACAGAGGGCAGGTACTGTATATAGCATTGACTCAAATGAAGAGAGGCAGTCATGAATTGAAGGTATAATGACTTTCTGACTTCAGCACATTTGCTGTATTTCCTGGATAGCAATAGTAGCTTGATTACTAGTTTTCTTTGGTGTTTTTTTTAATATGTGCTCTCCAACATGATCCACACCATAAGGCACAGCATTCCACCCTGGGATTCTCTTTTAGCTTTTTGGGCTTACAGATCTATCTTTATAATTTTACGGGAATGTGTAGCTATTTTGTACATATTTTTTTATACATTAAATATGGCCAGGAAAAAATATCTTTTATTAGGTAAATCTGGAATATTGAATATTATTATTCAGAATTTGTAGAGTGAGTGGAGCTTTTGTCTTATTTTCATGTATTCTCCAGAGATTACTTGGCAGTGTGTTGCAAAAAGCCTGTGGTTGAGTGACCTCCATGTCTCTGGTTGTAATTTACAAATATAACCAAATTACGTATTCCTTATCAGAGGGCTCAGTCTGATACTTCAGACGTCAAAGGCAGCAATGACGCAAGGTCCTAAAAGAGACATTAAGTACATACTGTAAGTGTGTGTGTGTATAGTAAAAACAGAATATATAGTAAAAACAACTAAAACATCAGTTAAAAGAAAAAATTGACCCCAAAATATTAAAGTTTCCCTTTAAGGGCCAGTTCATACTACACGCATTTCACTGTGCTTTTTTTCTGCATCCAAAACGCACAAAAAGTAGATTATATGGTTGTCAGTGTCATAGTTCACTTCAGTGCTTGTAGTTCCAGTGTGTTCCGGATGCAGAAAAAAAGTAGAGCAGGCCACATTTTTCCTGCACAGGACTGTGATAAAACACATCAAAAATGCACTGGAACGCACTGAAATGCACATGTCCCCATTTCAATTGAAGAAAAAGAAAGGGGAAAAAAATTAACCGGAAAGCATCCAAAGCGCACTAGAACGCATCCAAAACGCACATGCAGAAATGCATCTGGACTGCATTTCTATAGTGTGAACCGGCCCTAAAGATGAACTTCAGGCAAACAGCTAAATACAATGCATTAACAAAATAGATGTCATGCAGTCAGAGTTTAGATCCAGTGTTAAAGGATAAGTTCACTTTTCGTAACATGGTACATTTTATACCCATATTCAGGCAGGGTGTAACATGTTACCGTGGGAGTGGCCCCGGCACCCCCCTACAACTTATCTGCTGATCGCTGGTGCAATGTTTTCCAGACTCCAGAAACAAAAAAATAGTAAATGCACATTTTTTTACCTGCAAAAAAAGTGTGCATTTATTATTTTTTGTTAAAAGGTGAACTTTAACCAATGATTTGCTACAGTTTATTGAGTTAAGTTCAGAAGCAGAGTATTTTGTACCATTATGTTGAGGGTCATGTTGGATGGTCTTCTGCAGTGCTTTATTGTGAAAAATTATATGGTCAGTCCCATATATATACAGTTGTGCTCAAAAGTTTGCATATCCTGGCAGAAGTTGTGAAGTTTTGGCATTGATATTGAAAATATGACTGATCATGCCAAAAAATGCTCTTTTATTGAAGGATGATGATCATATGAAGCCATTTATTATCAAATAGTAGTTTGGCTCCTTTTTAAATCATAATGATCACAGAAATCACCCAAATGGCCACGATCAAAAGTTTACATCCCCTGGAATGTTTGGCCTTGGTACAGACACACAAGGTGACACACACATGGGTTAAAATGCCAATTAGAGGTTAATGTCCCACATCTGTGGCTTTTTAAATTGCAATTAGTGTCAGTGTATAAATAGTCAAGGAGTTTGTTAGCTCTTACTTGGAAGCACTGACTAGGCTAGATACTGAGCCATGGGGATCAGAAAAGAACTGTCAGAAGTCCTGCGTAACAAGGTAATGGAACTTTATAAAGATGGAAAAGGACATAAAAAGATGTCCAAAGCCTTGAATATGCCAATCAGTACTGTTAAATCGCCTATTAAGAAGTGGAAAGTTCAGGGATCTCTTGATACCAAGCCAAGTACAGGTAGACCAAGAAAGATTGTAGCCATAACTGACAGAAGAATTATCCTAGCTATCCTGTATAGAATTTCAGGGCCTCACATTTATTTTTCTTTAAAGGGACCTTCACCCTCTTCAATGACTGTAATTGTTCTCCTCTGCACTGGCACACCACCTCTTGGTCACATCTGGTACTAGAATTGCTATATATTTTTAGATTGCTCTTCCCTGTAGATTTGCTCAGATACCAAAGCAGCATAAACATTATTTTAATAATGTGTCTTAGTGTGTTTCATGGTAAACACAAAAAATATAATGAACACAAATGAAGGCCTGATACAAATTCCATCCTATTGCAATGTTAACTGTGTGAATTATAATAAATATATATACCAATTCAAAGAAAAACCCACAGACAACCTCAAAAGAAATACAGACTGCTCTGGAAAAAGATGGTGTGGTTGTTTTTAAGGAGTACAATATGATGACACTTGAACAAAAATGAGCTGCATGGTCGAGGTGCCAGAAAGAAGCCTTTACTGCATTAATGACACAAAAAGGCTCGGTTGGGCAAGTCAGGGTGTTGTCAGGCATATTGTAACTGGGCTTCTTTGTGGCATTGGTGCAGTAAAAGCTTCTTTCTGGCACTTTGACCAAACAGCTCATTTTTGTTCAAGTATAACCATATTGTACTCCTTAAAAACAACCACACCATCTTTTTTCAGAGCAGCCTGTATATCTTTTGAGGTTGCCTGTGGGTTTTTCTTTGAATCCCGGACAATTCTTCTGTCAGTTATGGCTGCAATCTTTCTTGGTAAACCTGACCTTGGCTTGGTATATATATATATTACAATTCACACAGTTAACATTGAAATAGGATGGAATTTGTATCAGGCCTTCATTTGTGTTCATTATATTTTTTGTGTTTACCATGAAACACACTAAGACACATTTTTAAAATAATGTTTATGCTGCTTTGGTATCTGAGCAAATCTACAGGGAAGAGCAATCTAAAAATATATAGCCATTCTAGTACCAGATGTGACCAAGAGGTGGTATGCCAGTGCAGAGGAGAACAATTAAAGTCATTGAAGAGGGTGAAGGTCCCCTTTAATGAAAAATAAATGTGAGGCCCTGAAATTCTATACAGGATAGCTGGGGTGCCTTAATAGAAAGTTTGACCTAAAGCTAATATGAGCAAAGTAAGGTCTAAGGTTCAGTTGCTAGTGAGACAAAACCTGAGGAGAATATTTTAGAAGTGCACTACTATTCTTCCCACTAGCAGCCTACCCACACTCCAAGAGCGAAAGAAAGCCGGGCAAGGAAACTCCATGATCAGATTCAGAATACATCAGAAATCTCCAACAGACCACCGAAGATAAATTCCATGATATAAGAATGGGTTCGTATGTGTGATTCTTTCTAGAAGTCACAGTTCACTTATAGACGTTTAAAGCCCAAATGAACTTTAGTTTAAATCAACCTACAGTAATTCATTCAATGTGCCCCAAAACAAGTGTGCAAAGTAATACAGTTTACATTCTTTAACCTCCCTAACGGTATTCCCGAGTGTAGCTCGGGGTAAAATGTCTGTACCAAAAGCGGTAACCCCGAGCTACACTCGGGCTTACCATGCGGTGCTGCATAGGGAGTCCCTGCAGCACTTACCTTGTCCTTCGCTCCTGCGATGTGTCCCCTGCAGCGTCCCCAGCCATCTCCTCCGGCTGATGCCAGCATCCGGCTCCTGTGTTCCGGTCCCTGTGACGTCAGGACATACGGGGCGCCGCCGGCGGCGGGAAATTTGAAACTTTTAAAAAAATGTAATTTTTTTCAAAACGATTTTACATAGTAAAACATTGCTGTTTCAACCCATTTCACATACATTTTGTCCCTAGTGCTTTGTCCTGTCCCCTGTCTGCATTTTGATTGTTCTTTCTGCCTGGAAACTTGGAAAAGTCCACGACGTCCAAAAAGTGTCCCTTTAGGTCAAAAGCGGTTTTAGACTAGCTAGAGAACAGCGATAATAAATCAGAACAACTTGCAGAATTGAGTGATAATGATTCGTGTAGAAATTCATCATCAGACACTGAAAACAATTTTGCGACTTTGCTCAGTGATGTGCGAACTTGGGGCTATATTTCAAATTTCAGTGTTTTTGGTTTGATTATATTATTGAATTAAATGTATGATTTAGAATCTTGTTCAGACAGATTTCAGTGAGTTATTCCTAAAAATTACAGCCTACAATAAAAAAAACGACATATTTCCATGCAAAATAATGGTACCGCTTTCAGCACCAAAAATATGAAATAATCATACCGCCAGGGAGGTTAAAAATCAACCACAGATTTGGTCCTAAAGTCTGTCCACTGACAGCATGGTGCAGACTAGTACCCTTGCTCACTGTGTGGAAGGAGTGGTCTCTCTACAGAAGTTCAACACTCCCCCCTGCTGAGTCACAGCCAGAAATTTCCAATCAGTTTGACTGAGCTCTGCAATAAGACCTTTACTTACCTAAAAAGAACAAAGTTCTCACTCTGCAGTTACTGGCAGTAGACAGGCTTTTCTTCTCAGGCTGTAACTATTTTAACCACTTGACCTCTTGAAGGTTTTTAACCCCTTCATGACCAGAGCAGTTTTTGCTATTCAGCACTGTGCTACTTTTAGGGCTCATTCACACGACTCTATTTCTAACTCTTGCCAAACGCCCCTATAGCGTTTGACAGGCGTTAGACAGGCATTTGGGAAAGGTTTTTAAAGCTCCTCAAATGCCCTATGCGCGGTTTTGAGGCATTTGCCAAGCGTTTAAACCGCACCACAAACGCCTATAATGCAGTTAAATGGTATTAACGCTCTGCAAGCGCATTGCAACCGCACCACGAAATGCCTGCCAGACGTTTGAAGAGCCGCACCATAGACTTGAATGGGAGGCTTCAACTTCTCCTGACTCGACATGAGGCATCAGTTTTGCCGCAACGCTAACGCTTCAGTGTGAACAGCACTGTGTGCTGCCACGTGCAGAATTTTCATAGGCATTTGAGAAGCGTTAAAAACACTTCCCAAACGCCTGTCTGACACCTGCTGACAAAGCTAGTGAGAACGTAGCCTAACTGGCAATTGCTCGGTCATGCAACACTGTACCCAAATGAAATTTATATAATTTTGGTTCACATAAATAGAGCTTTCTTTGGTTGGTGTTTGATCCCACTGGGATTTTTTTATTATATAAACAAAAAAAATATTTTTTCTACTTTCTGTTTATAAAACATATCCAATAAAAAATAAATAAAATGTCTTCATAAATGTATTCTTCTTCATGTCTTTGGTAAAAAAAAGAAGTGTATATTAATTGGTTTGCATGAAAGTTATGGTGTGTACAAACTATGGTACATGTACTGGAATTTACACAGCTATAGACCAGTAATGGTGGTGATCAGTGGGACTGTGCTAGTGTAGTGGGCAATCTAGCACTAACAGACTTTGGCTGGGAGGGACACTAACTGACACTGCTGTTGCTAGTGACACTAACACAGTGATCAGTGATAATACTGTACACTGTACTAATGACACTGGCTGGGAACGGGTTAACATCTAGAAGCAATCAAGGAGTTAACTGTGTGCCTAATGTGTGTAATGTGTGCTGCATTTTACTCACAGGTCTAGCTGCACTTGCCGCCCACTTGCAGTACATTTACTGTGCGAGGGTATGCAAGTGCTTAAAAAAAGAAAACAAACTGTAAAACATTGGACACCTTTTGTTTTGATGCACCTGGAATGTATTTAGCTTAATATGAGTTGATGGGTCAATTGGGCTTTAATTCTATAATACTAATTAAGGAATATATATGGAGCTTTCTGAGTATGTGGTGATTTACTGAGACTTCAGAAATCTTGTAAAATTTTAGAAGGACCTGAACTAAATTGGACATCTTCCTATTACTGTATGTTACAGGTGCAGCGGAATTGCTTGAACATGAAATCCCAGAGGAAATTACAGCAGATCAATTCACTGTGGAGATTCTTGGTTTACCGATCCAGACAGCTGACAAGAATGAAGAGCACTCTCAAATTCCAGAGGGTGCCTCATGATAGCAGTTGATGACCACTTTTGATGGTCCTTCGTGTATTAAAGTGCCAAAATATTTTAGATAAAGTAGGGAATTGTTTAAACGTCAGTCAGTTGTGGGCATTTTTGGGGGGAGATTTCTGTTTAGAGATACACAACAGGAAATGAGAGGCAATACCTCCAAAGTGAGATTAAATTATTTCTTGAACAGTTGTGAACAGAACCGTTGTGCCCATTAAAATATTTCCCCTTGTCGTTCCAAAGACGGTCTTAAAAGTTGGATTTCCCTACTTTATCCAAGACAAAAAAAAATAATTTCTGTCTTGGCATTTATTTTAAGGTGTTATTTCACTTTTACAGGAAAAAATGTAGAGATGAAATAACACTGGATACCCTCCCCTCCCCCCAGTCCCTGCCATACTAGTCTCTGTGGTTACTAAACAGTCAGCGTCCCTACAGCTGGTCCAGGGATGTGAAGTCCGCACTCTTCCCTCTCTTTTACGTGCAGCGGCTTCTTGGATGGACCAGAGCAATTCATTGTGATGGCCCTGACCAATCAGAATTGATCTGGTTCGTCCCTGGAGAAGAGGGGAAGAATGGAGATTTCAAATCCCTGGACCACTAGACCAGCTTCAGGGATGCAGATAACTTAATAGCCCTGGAGTAAGTACAGTGGGGCAGGTGTCCAGTGTTAGTTCACCTTTATATTTGTTCTGTAAAGGAGAACTAACACTTTAAGGTCCCCCTTACACTGATTCATTGTGTTTCATTACTGCACACACATAAACTCGAGGTATTTTGTGTGGTAATGTGCGCTGCAATTATGGCAGACCATTCATTCTGAATGTGCTGTCAGTGCACCACAGCACATGAATTGTTGCAACACATGTACAGCGCAGAGTACTTCCAAGGTGTGTTTGAATGCCTTTCAAATAAAATGGCAGCACATTACCATGTGTTGTAGAAACACACCATAAAATGCAGGTTAGGGTAAAGCCAGACTAAAACTAATAATATTTTGCAGAACCACTCACCTAAGGTTTCGCTGCATAACATTTCTTTAGTCAATGTTTTGTTTATGTTTAAATATTCTGCAATTTTATTTTTGATATATTTTAGAATAGAATTACAATGTTGTTGTTTAAATGTTTCATTTATGTTTTTCCTGGGAAAACGTCAATAAAAAAAGATACTGGCACTTTAGATGTCTGTTTCAATTAGAACAATCTTAAATCTGGAGATGGATTTATACAAACACTCCAAAGCTAAAATGTAAGTGATGGTATATTTTACTGGCTGATCAATCTGATTTACCTTTTCAGGTATTTTATTGAGTACAGAAGAGATACAGCAAGAAACAGACATTGGATAGAGTATTCATACGAAAACTAACACCACATATTATTTATTAGGTAGACTAAATATCAAATAGCGTTGATGTTGGTCTAACTGGTATAGTGGTGGTGATTGATACTTTCAAAGTCACAACCATATAGAACTGGGGCAGGGAGAAGGGTGAGGTGAGGTATGGGTGAAGGGGAAGATCATCCTCATTTTTTATAAAAAAAACACGATGCACTTTTAAAGAGTTAGTCAACTCAAAACTGTTATTTATAGTTTTGATAGTTCTAGTAAGTTATATTCCCCAAAAGGATTCCTTTCTCCATCAGGAAAAGGAAATTCCATTCCTGGGTCTTTACACCTGAGGGAAAATGAAATGTCAATTTAATGGTTGACAGAAACACCCAAGACCCCCAGGTAGAAAGGAACAGAGTTGAGATTTAGGTCCCTTTCACATGAATGGTCAGATCAGGTCCACTTGTCAGTTTTTCAGATGGACCTGATCTGATGATCCATTTTTTGCGGTATGGGAGAGAAGTCTGCTGGAGTTGCTAAGACATTATAAGACCATCAGGCACAACCTTTATCAAAAATATCACACTCTGGTGAAATAAACTCAGTATAATATTTTTAAAACCACATTTTGTTACTAGCTCTAGTAACACTAGTAAGTACTTGGTATACCTGTATGCTTGAATGATGCCATGTTACCAAATGTTACCATGATATAAGAGTTACAATTCCAGATTTTGTACATTTGTTCTTGGCAAATTTCCTGGTGAATATTGAACTATTACATTGTGCCATTACTATTTTTCTTTAGCATACTGAATTCAATCTATTCATATCATGTCATATTTTAAGCTTGTGTTTTTGAAAAGGAGCATTTGCAACAAAAGGCATATTACAACCCTTTTTAGTAAATAAGCTGAGAAGGGTTAACGTGTTCTGGGATCCTCTGAGACAGTGTCATCCATGAGCAAACAGATTAGGGGTACTGATTTAGAAGCTAAGGCCTGGGCTATACATTGTCCTTTTAAATAGACTATTTCCTTTGCTCAAGCAGGACAAAGAAAAAGGGTCACGCAACTCTAACCCCCATCCATCCAAGCAGCATACTCTTACCTTTCCCTGACCTTTACGTTGCTCCATTCCACTTCAAGTGGTGATTTAAAACACCAGGCTTTTTGGGGCATGGGTTACAATGTGACTTACTCTCCCTCTCCAGTGTTACATTTTAGGTGCAATGATGGGACCAGAGATGTCAGCTGGGTCTAGGAAAGGAGTCTATAACTCTGTGTATACTCCAACAGTTTGCTCGGCATGGGGCCTGGAAGCAAGTGGAGATCACTGGAGAAGCATTTCCAGGGGCATCAACCAGGCATGGTATATGTATAGTTACATTGGTCCATGCTGGATGTAAAAATCTACCATACCTTTTTAAAGGGTTACCACCAGTCTCTAAAAAAATTGAATAAATAAGTCTCCTGCAAGGAAAGAACCATTATAGTTACCTTTCCAGCAACCTGTGTGTCCTACCTCCCCTCCTGCCTAGAGAGGTAACCTCTGGCAATGTCTTTGGCATGCAACACTTCTGAGACTGTGTCAGCTGCTGTATGCAGGAGATCAGCCCCCTGTCCCTCAGGACTGAGTCATGTCGTGAGTTACGGGTCAGAAAAAAAACAATATGTTGCAGGGGACACAAGTATCCAACACTCCCAGAAGTGTTGAATGGAAAAGAGCATTCCATAGGCTTAATTGCTAGAATGTAGGGGAGATAGGTGACGCTGGCCATGAGAGAGGTGAGCATAATGGCTCTTCTTATGTCAGGTACTGTTGGTTCAGTTTTGTTGGAGACTGACAAAGTGCCTTAAACCTAATATATAAAACAATTTTTTAATAGAACCTGTGTGCGGGTGTCAGTTATATAATTACTATACACAGGAGTATTTACTCCATTACAAATTCTACCTCTTTTTACATACCGCAAAAGGAAAAATGCATTTTAAAACACCCTTATTCATCCTATCATCCTTGTATCAAACTTTTAGTAGGACTTTCAAAAATGTAAAAACAATTTAAAATTTCAGCCCAGAGGACTTGCCACAAATGGTGTTTATAATTAAAGTAGAACTATAGGCAATTTGTTTTTCAGTTTGGAATAAGGGAGGGTCATAGCCCGTCCGTTATTTTTTTGCCCTCTGTGTCCTATTGCAGAGAATTCCCTTCATTTCTTGTCCCAAAATCAAAACAGGAGGTGAAAGGAAATCCCTGCAAATTAAGAGAATCCCTTGGAGACCCTCAGGTCACCAGAACTAGTGTCCCCATTGGAAGACTTGCCCTCTATTACTTTTCTGTGAATGAACCCAAATTTGGGGATTTTATTTATCTTTCAATGATGATAGTAAACAGGACAAATGTAGAGGGTGAATCTCCCTAGAGGTACAGACAGCAATAAAAACTGACGTGTTCAAATTCATCTCCAATCTATCAAAAACTAAAAAAAAAAGTTTTGCCTTTAGTTATACTTTAAATTGTTTTATCTAGATCTTAAAAGAAAACTTCCCTATGTGAATAAAATTTGGGTCCATGCCTCCAACCATCCACCAATAATGGGAATATTATTTTTGTGAGGCTTTTCCCTTTTTTTTTGGTGGCCCCATCTCCATTCTGGCTTAGGGCAGATTGATTAACTGCTGCGCCATCAGGGGCCAGGCTGTCTGAACCCAGAAGAGGCAATCAACTGAAGAAGACCAAGATGGGAGAGCAGAACACAAACACAAAGCGCTGAACAATGAGATCACTGCAGGGCAATGCTGGGTCCACTGGACAGGTGGGTGAGTGTGTATTTTGAATTTAGCCCAACATAACAGATAAGTGAGGAAGGAAGGAAGGGTAGAAATGTAGGGGCAAGTTTAATGGGACCAGAGACCGAACACAAATACTCATTAATGAATAATAAATACAAACAGACCAGTATTGTGGATTAAAAGGGCCATGTCCCTTTATTATTGGTATAATAAATACAATTCACCAGTAATAATTTATTTGTTTATGACCATTGTTTCAATACTATAACTGCACCAACAAATAACTACATACAAAATAGTTCAACCATTAAAGCTTAAACTAGGATTTTCAACAAATAAAAGCAACAGTCCCCCTTAACAAAAGGGACAAGGCCACATAATAAAGGACCGCGACAAAGGGAGGAAGGGATGCTTCTTCTTCTAGTTAAATTCTGTATTAACCACTTCAAGTCCGGACACTTTTACCCCCTTCCTGTCCAGGCCAATTTTCAGCTTTCAGCACTATCACACTTTGAATGACAATTGCGCGGTCATGCAACACTGTACCCAGATGAATTTTTTACCATTTGTTTGAGACAGATAAAATTTATTTTGGTGGTATTTATTCACCACTGGAATTTTTATTTTTTTTGCTATAAATGAAAAAGTCCAAACATTTTGAAAAAAAAGTGTTTTCTTATAACATTTTGCAAATAAATAATCTTTTTTCATAAATCTTGGCCAAAATATATTCAGCTATCTTTTCAGTAAAAAAAAAAATAACCCAAATTAGTTTATAACCAAAAATAATTTTTAAAAAATGTTTACATTGTTATTTTATTTTTTTTCAATTATTTATTTTTAACATACCGTCACCCTAGCTGTACTACTTG